CCGTCCCCGTCATCGTACCCGATACCTGCGGGTTTTTTTTTCTGTGGTTTTCGATCGATTTCAGTACTGAAACCCAACAAATGTGGGGATGTTCGAGGGCAAATCCCAACCGTTATGCCAAGAATGTAATTTCATTTTCCAAGCGTGAGGCAGTTGTTTAGCGGTAATTTCGTTGGTCCCCAAGAGTCCAAGTTTTTGATCGTGAAACAGGTGAAGTTGTAGAGGGAAAGTAATGGTGATGTTGTGAATATTCTTCGATCACATGTGGAAAAAAAATTAAATTTCGACGTAGAGCATGTAGAAATCTGGGAAAAGAACAGAACTAAGCAGGCAGGTAGCAAATTACGGTAACAAGATAGAGTGGTCATGGAAAACCTGTAAAAACAAAAGGGCTCATGTGTAAAAAAAACAATTTTTGGCACTATTTACCCTTTGCTGCCCCAACCATCCAGAATTGAGCCAGTTTTTGACCGACTTTTTTCTCCGTGGACAGATTTGGCTCAAATGTTGTCTCCTGGGGTAGTTTGACCTCCTGAATACGAATATCACATTCGCTTAGCCCGAAACTTCCTGGCGCCCGCGCCACAGGCGCCGGTGATTTGGGGTATTTTGGCGCCAGCGCCTGTAGCGCGGGCGCCAGGAGGTTTCAGGCCAAGCGGATGTGATATTCGTGTTCAGGAGGTCAGACTACCCCTGGGAACAAGTTTTCAGCGAATTTGGTGATTTAGGGTATTTTGGCGCCGGCGCCTGTGGCGCGGGCGCCAGGAGGTTTCGTGCCGAGCGGATGTGATATTCATGTTCAGGAGGTCAAACTACCCCAGAGAGCAAATTTTTAGCCTAATTTTGCGGACGCGGAAAAAAGTCGGTCAAAAACTGATGTTTTTGGAAGGCTGGGGCAGTAAAGGGTAAATAGTGCCCAATTTTTGTCATCAGAAGAATGTTGAGTCATGGGCAAAGGACGAGATGTCAGGCCAAGGTACAGCATCGCTAAGAAGAGTCCTATCTGTGCTTGTACTTGGCAAAGATGAGGGGGTCGTATCTGGTTTGAGAGAAATTTTTCCGTGAGTGAGGGAATTTCAGTGGTTGCTGGTTTTTTTTTCGTTTCACGTGCACTGTATACATGTACCCTGGCATTGCTTTTCTGATACAATTCATTACCTCGCTAAGCTAGCTCAGTGGGGAAACTGTACCTTCATTTCTTACGGTTCGCAGAGCTAGGCGGATGGGTCCGCAACAGCACTAGCGTGCCACTTTGTCCCCTAAAAGTGCACGAGAGCGGGGCGGTACGGTAGCGGTATCCATCGGCTGTCTCGACACTCCGCTCGCGATCCTCGAAGTGTAGCATTTGCACCGAAGTCCCGCAACGAAACAGGTATTTGACGGCAGAGAACAATCAGAAGTGGGAGAGCCCCGACAAAGAGCATTTGGCTCAGGCTTATCGCTGTTGGATTCCCCAACAGGGAGAGGGTCGTATGGTCGCTGGGATAGGAAGGTTCGTTCGGTCTGAGAAAAAATTTTTATAGCTGATTTTTCTTGCTTCACATTCCAAAGGGGGGGGGGGTCGTATTTGTTCGTTGTTGGGAGGGGGTCGTATTTACCTTCTAGTCAACCGCTACCTTCTAGTCAACCGCTCGGCAACAGAATTTTTGGGGAAAAGTAGGAAAATTTTCGCAAAATTAAGGAAAAACAGGTAGGAAGTTGGGGAAAATGAAAGGGAATTGGTGCTGATTACGTCCCCGCCTCCGCTCAACCTCGATGATGAGGAAACCAGGGGGAGGGTCGTACCAACCCTTCAAAAAAGAAAGGGGAGGGGGGCTTTGTACCGACTCAACCAAAATCCCCAAGTAAAGGTCTGCCCTGGTTTGGCTACGGGCTAGTGTGTTGACCGACCGTGCGGCAGTGCGGGCGGAGAATGGAGACGGCACCCAGGCATCACTACTCTTCAGCCCCGTTCTCATGCACTTTTGCCGGAGAAAGTGGCAGGCGTGCATACTCCCCCTCACACCCGGTAAAGACCAGGACCCGCGAAACTAAGTCCTGAAACGGTGGAAAGTAATACCTAACTCACTGAACCTTATAATGGTGGTAAACGCAAGTTTTCACGAGACTCTTGGTGACTTGCCATGTACCAGTATCGAACACCTGGGCGGTTGAAATGGGTACCTTTTCATGATGAGGTGCAGTTTACACTTAAATTGAGATCACACATGCGAACTTGAAGGCAAACAAAGTAAATACTTGACAGCTGCTCTCTAAACTCCTTAAGTTTCAGACTGAAAATTGAAAAAGGCACGCTCCCTTTATCATCCTTGTATGTGTTGGGGCTATTTATGGAGTGTTTCATTTTGTGAATTGCCGCCATGCTCAATTTTTTGAAAGGCCACGCGATACAGGTGCTAATTCCACGAATGTGCTGTTGGAGAAGCTGAGCCTTCGCCGGCATGAGAAATCTTACAGTTCAATTCTGGTTTTACTCAAAAGGTAGCAGAATCATTTTGGGTACAGCGATCTGGCATGATTTCCACCTGAGGTTTTCTCAAGATGTTAATTTTGTTATTGATATTTTGGCTATGGAATGAATAGCACTTTTGCTGGGCTTTTTCAAAGTGAATGATTGATTGATTACTCTCTCTCTCTCTCTCTCTCTCTCTCTATCTATTTCTCCTCATCTCTCATTCACCTTGTTCTCCAGAAGGATTAATCAACGAACTTTCAGTCGCAACGTTGAGGAACTTCGACGAATTGGGCGATAAGACGAAAGACATTGCTGTACTCAGAGAGTTTGTGAACTCCCATTTCAATCCTCCCGGATCTGAGCTCGTGGAGTGGTTCCCTCGAGATTGGGTTGACTTCCCTTCGACTTTTTTAAACATACACGATTACCACCATCGACGGTGGGCGCTCCATTTACACCGAATTTGGAGAGATCTTTGCAGACGGTCGTAGTATCGTTCATGCCTCTTACCTAAGAGTTATTACCTCAACGGTTTCATAACTTAAGCAACTTATCCTTGTGCGCTGTTCCGAACGTGTCGCATCATCGAAAGCACGAAATCTATCGTGAAAGTGTGCTTGAAACCACATTCTGCTGTTCACTTGATGTACAACCACCCTCTTTGAACATGGTAATCCTGTCCGCAAGCATGGAGGGAGCACTTCTTTAGTAGATCAAAAATACGTGACACGCTAGCGACGACCCACTGGCCATTCGCCACGATCGTGGGACTTCAGGGAATATTTTTCAGTTCTCCATTCACCCGTGGACTTCACTGATAGTAATTGTGAGTCGTTTAGTGGGTGAAAAGGCTGCTCGTCTGCGCTTTTCACCTGGATAGTGTACCTTTCCATATCCTGTGCTCACCTTTAGAAGAAACGCGGACGGATCGTGATGGCGCGCCGGGCTAGCTTCGTAGCCTGCCCCCCTCCCCTCCCCGCAAGTAGCGCCCGACTCATTCTGTGGCGCCTCAAACTGATTTTCCAAAGTCAATTGTGTTCGTTATTTTCTGAAGGTATTTCTTTGAAGGTTCGCGATGACGTACGTAGACATCAGGATCACTATTCTCTTTTATATGTACCTCATCCTTTCATTATACCTGGTGGACGGTTCAGAGAATTCTATTACTGGTGAGTTTCTCCTGACTTGCTATATTTTCAGTGCTCTTAATAACTTATCAGAGTACGGATATTGAAAGGCCTTATTTTCTCAGAAATGTACGAAACAGCGAGAGGAATCATTAAAAACCTTGCATTTATGGTCGATAAGTAAGAGGCTTATCAAATTTTGATACTGCCTTTGAAATGATTCATTCAATTTTACCAAAATCCGATGTTTAGCCATGGATTTGTGCCAAATGGTGGCCGTGTCTACTATCTCACACGTTCGCAGCCACCGCTTTTAATACCAATGGTTTATGACTACTTTCTCGGTACCGGTGATTTGGATTTCGTTTTGGTGAGTTGCATGGTGCCAGTGAATACTTTTTTTAGTTATTTTTACGCTGTTGGTGCATGGTGTGGTGGCCTGTGACTCGTTTAGCACTCCTGGGTGAAATTGCGGATCTGCCCCCCTCCAGGTTAAGCAGGCATCTCCTGTTCAGATCCCTAGATCGCTGATCATCTGAGACCAACATAACAGCTGGTCATTGCAAGTCGTTGTAGGGCTTCAACGATTCAATAAGCCACTGCGATTCTGAATGGAAGTAGAATCGCTTCCCAAAGAGGGACTGATCAACGGAGAAGATTATCCTTTGTTGCTAACTTCTTATGCCAAGAAGGTTTGAAACCGCTTATCGGTGTCGAGCAATTCGTCTTCTTCAATACCTCAAAGTGGCTCGTGAACCTTATTTGTAACTCACCCACCAAGTGCCCGTCATACATGGTTGCAGCACATCCCAAGAACACCAAGTAAGAAACTTCTCGACAAAGAAACCAATCTCCCGGTTTTCACCAGCTCCAAGTTCATGCTCATCGCCCTGAACAACACAAAAAAGTGCACTACTGACACACTAGGTGTCATACGTGAAACTCGTGGTGTTTTCCCAGACCACACAAAGGGATGAAAGGCAGGAAATCACTTGTGATGGTAGTGGACTCATTTCTGCTGTTCCAGCCTCGGAGTCTCGCACGGATATAAAACACTTACGGTCTTTCTAGCACCAATAACGTCCTCACATGCTACAATATTACATCAGCATTAAAATCCCTGGCTCCATGTGCGCGTCCTTACCAAGGGAACTGCAGTGACTGACCTATGAAGAAAATTATATTGGGGAGACGGGCGGGATGTTGGGTACACGTGTTAAAAAACACCTACCGGACTGCCTTTCATCCGGTTAGGTGTTTTTTTCAAACGCATGCCCGTCTTCCCAATATAAACTTCTTCACAGGTCAGCCACTGGAATTGTTATCTGAGAAAAAAAATAAAATAAAAAAGAAAAAATAAAAACGCTCACCGCCTGCCTTAGCATCTTCAGAAAGGACGCTAGGTTACGCATCTTGAGAAGAGTCCTTCACAGCTGTTGTTAGTTGCAGTAACAAACTAGAAATAATAGGAAGCTAAGGTATTTCGGTTGCGGTCCTGTATACGCTTGCTGAGTTTTGCATTTGACTTTGTAGCGAGGTGCCTACCAACACTATGAGATACGATATCTGTTTGTGATAAGCAGAGATTCTCGAATCTACAAAGACGCCAATGGGACGGAGAAATTCCCATACTATCAATATAGAGCTACGCTGAAAGTTCCACGTCCTGAATCATATCGTGAAGATTATGAAATGGTTCATCACTTGAAAAAGGACGGTATGGATTTGGGTTTTTTCTCAAATCGATTTGTTTTTCCGAACTTTTGTGAGAAATCGACTGCTACTCAATTCATCTCGTTATCGCTTTGTTCAGAGGAAAAGACGCGTATGTGGTCGGAAATCGCATCGGCAGCCCGAAACAGGCTGGGATTTTTCGACCAGGTGGTTTGCTCAAGATGGTGAAGACAAGCACGCAATGAGAAGTATTAGGTTCGTTGCCAGCATTTCTTTTAGCTGGTATAAATTTGACTGTAGCTGTGATTTATTGAAAGTGCCGGTTCTACGATGAGAGGGATATCCTGCGATTTTGTTAGAGCTTTCAGGACTGCAGCATGAACAGAGTGATGGATAGGATGCGCTTAGATATTAGAAATAAATAAGCTGTGTATTAGGACGCTAAATAGGCTTATGCTTGGCGAATAAATAGGCTAATTTGGAGACACACTTTTTTTAGTGAAGGTCAGAAAAAGTCTATAAATTGAGCAAGCATGTTTGTTAGCTGAGTTCTGGGGAATTATAAGCGCAGAAAGAAAAAGGGAAAAAGCCACATTGGAAAAGGCCTGAGGCGTCTCCACAGAACATCGGCAGTGACCGCTGGAAATCAGCGAAAATTCCTCAGTAAGCCAGACTAGGCCGATAGTTCTGTCTCTTCAACTTGTTGCTAAAAACTAATGGTGAAAGACTAATCAGTTGAATGGTGTAGAAGCAAGCTTCTCACAATGGAGAAGACGTCAACTTGTTTATAGGACATGGAGCATTGTTCCAGTCGATCTCAATGCGTTCATGTGCGTGAATGCTCGGATTTTGGCCAGTCTTTTCGAAATCAGAGGTACGGTTTATGTTTAAGTAACTCCCGTATGCGAAATACGTTGAACGAATATGCGTAACTAAAGACAAATGCTCCTAAGACACAATGACCTTCGCTCTGATCTTGAATGCTTCCCATGTGGAGGTGAAAGATCCGCAGCTGTCAGAGTTCGCCACTTTCCATGCCCAAATGGGAGAGAGTGATGCTGGAGGATAGAGATAGCTAGATAATCCCTTGCGAATAATGATGTTCACCAATTACAGATCGTCAGAGGCACACAGTACACTGTATCGAACAGGCCTTAGTTTAGCTAGGCCCATACTCCGCGGTTTGCACTTAGGACGCCATTGTTCTCTTGCTTATCTTTTAGATGCGCACGGTTACAGGCATACCGGCGGGGAATTTTCGGTTGCCCACAGCTGACTTACTGCATAGAATCCAGCTAACCATAAGGATATCGTGCATGTTAAGGTTTTCTGTCGCCAGACTCACAGTACACGTCGCACCAACGGTCGTAGGGACATTGGCGGTGGGTGGTATGAAGTGACAGCAATATATGAGACCTGGAAATGGGCATTGAAGGCAAATTTATGGCTAGATTTGAAAGATGAAGTTGATATTAGTGAATCAGCTTACGTCTAGGAGTACGAATCCCCAATTCAGTAAGGCACTGCAACCCAACATCGTACTTATATTGTTTTTTTGTTTATTTTATTTTGGCAATGCTTTAGGAGACTTCAAAAAGGTCGCATTCTACCAAGAACGTTACGAATTAGCAAAACGTGAGATGAAAGAGATTCATTGGAATGAAACAGATGGAATCTGGTACGATTACGACTTGGAGAAGAAGGTTGGTTGTGAAGTTGTCTCAAGTTTCCTTGAGATAAGATCTTTCTGTAGATTGTAGATGAATTACAAAGTTCAACTTGAAGTTCGAGTTCTCCTTCTGACAATGAGAGCAATCTCATCAGGCGTTAAGCTAGGAAGTCATATATTCCAAATAGAAAGGTAGTAGAATTGAGTTTGCAGCCTTTTCGGTGGGGACTTTGGGACTTTCTCATGAAAGTTAAGCAACTTATGACAAGTAGATGGCTGAGGGAAGGGCATTTGTTCATTAGTGTTAATTGTGTTGCCTGCCTATTTTATAGTCTTGCTGACAGTAGTGGTAACTGAACTCGAAATAAGTGCTAATGCATAACAATTCTTGTCTCTTGTGAATGACAGTGTCCAAAGTAAGCAAGGTGTTTGACTAAGGTAGGTGGAGACGGTTTGTAGAAAACTTTGCACAGAAAAGAGGGTTTGCCACCCAGAAGCTCCTTCTCCTAAAGTTAGGACAAAATCCTCATCCGCTGCCAGTCGGTTGTACCTATCTTCTTGCACCAAATGGTGTCAACATTGAAAAAAATCAAGGAAAGAGCTCTTACCATTTAGTAGCTTCACGTCCTCCGTACCATTCTTTGCGATTCGCAATTGCATCGATGCGATCGCCAAGTTGAACGCGGTGCTAACAGTCTTAGACCCCCACACGTTAAACATGAACAACCAGAAACGGGACATCTTTCACAAATTAATCGCACGTGTGGCGGTTGAATTCATCTGAAAAATGTCTGAACCGCCGGTGCCGCGGTCCCGCCCCTCAATCCCTTGTTAGGGTGCCACAACTTGCCTTCAGTTAGAATCGCTGCGTGGAGTACGATGCGGTCGTCACTGGGCATTGGGCGGGGAGGAGTAGGAGGACAGTGCGTCATTCGTTACGCATTCTGTGCTTTTAGTACCCAGAAGAATTTGTCACCGATTGATTCCCAAATAGTGGTAAACTTGTTGGATCCGATCTGAGGCTCTGAAGCCTCCTCTCTGAAGGAGGCTCGCCACTGTCACCCCCCCCCCCCCCCCCGAATTCAGTAACTTCTGGGATTTTGATAGGTGCTGGAGTTTAATGGTAGACCACCAAACACAGCTGCCACTGTTCCTTCCATAAGCAGGTTTTGCCATTGAACAAGAGCGAAATTGCGCTTCTTCTCGTCACAGTCTCGATATAAGCCCCTTCACAGTCTACAGTTTTATGTAAAGGAATCAACATATGTTTTACTCATTTTCTAGTTGAAATGGTCGAAGCTTGATCATTGCTAGAATTTCAGACTCATTCGAATATTTACTATGTGTCAAATGCCATACCACTTTATGCTAAATGTTATGACGATGAAGATGACGTCACACCTCACAGGGTGCACCAATACTTAAAGGTAAGTTGTCATTTCACTCCTTTGTCCATTTTTCTCCATGTAGTGTAGAAGAAAAGCCTCCATTCCGAACAAAACTATTGTTCGCGCTGAATATTGAGGCGAGAAATATTGTCAGTACAAAGCCACTCAATACCGTGGCTTTCTGATGCTGATTCGTTTTGCTTTGTTTGCGGTGTGTGATCGAGGAACTGATGCGCCAGGGCACATCAATTGGTTGGGCATTATTGTCAAGTATCGACTCCCCCCCTTTTTTTTAGGGATTGCGTATTTTTTTAGGGTGCTGCGTTTGATACGACTCTCCTCTGAATACGACCCCACCCTTCCCCCACCATCCTACTTAGCACTTTCCTAGGTTTTCCAACCTGCTACCACTTTTTCCAGAATTTCTCGGAAATTTTCCTACTTTTACCCAAAAATTTTGCTGTTGAAGCGGGAAAGACATAAACAGAGAAATCTGCGGAAAGGAAATCAGCCCCTCCAGTACAACCTCTCCACAGAAGCTGAAAGTACATCCCCGCTTCTCAAAAACAAAGCGATATACGACTCTCCCCCCTCTGTACACCGTTCCTCTGGACAAGAAAATCAACTATCAAAGAATGTTTTGCTCAGCACAAATACGACCCCTGTCTCCAGCAACCGAATACGGCCCCCCTGTTGCGGGGAATCCCCAACAGTCTGCGCTTGGCTTAGAACACATGGTACGCTCATACAACATTGAGGTATGAGACTATTCAGCCCAGATGTCGATGGTGTCGTGGTCCCCCCGCCCAAACATGCCCGGGAATGGAGATACAGGGCCGTGAAACACGCTAATTCTTCCATGCTCCGCCCACTGCCTTTTACGGCGCAGATTCCCGCCGTTCATAACATCCGTTGCAAGCGCGCCTGTCGCGTGCGGCTCCTTGGCACTTTGCCAAGTCCTTTAATTGCGCTCTCAAATACAAGGAAAACGCAATTTCCTGATGCGGATAACATTGGAGGTGCTACAAAATAAGAGCAGAAGATGATGACGAGGGTCAGAACCTAAAAGCGACTGTGCCACTTCTGCAACATCCCTCGGAGGCCACGTATTTCCACGAAACATGAAAATAAAAACTAAAAACGGCATACTCGTTAGTTTAATACAAGCAAGACGCAATTTCCTGATGCGAATAAAATTTAAGGTGTTGCTCATGCTTCAAAATCCATGTACAAGGAGATGAAGATGACACAGGCTAGAAATGAAGCACAACGATGTAAATGTAAACAAAACAAAAATGAAAAAATCAAGGAAAGGCAAATTAGATAAACTGGCCTGTAAATTTCTACGATCCGGCGCCAAAGCCATAGAAATACTTAGAACAAACGAGTGGGACGCTTGGGCTGTTTTTATTTTCATGTTTTGTGGGAATGCGCGGCCCTTGATGGATACTGCAGATGCAGCCGAGTTGCTCTTGAGTTCTGCCCCTTGTCATCATCTTCTGCTCTTATTTTGTAGCACCTCCAATGTTATCCGCATCAATAAATTGCGTTTTCCTTGTATTTTGAGAGCGCAATTAAGACTGGCCAACGTGCAAGCGAGCCGCACGCGACAGGCGCGCTTGCAACGGATGTTATTAACGGCGGGAATCTGCGCCGTAAAAAGGCAGTGGGCGGAGCATGGAAGAATTAGCGTGTTTCACGGCCCTGTATCTCCATTCCCGGGCATGTTTGGGCGGGGGACCACGACACATCGACATCTGGGGGGCTGATAGTCTCATACACCCTCAATGTGTATGAGCGTACTATGTGTCTTTAAGGCAAGCACGTCAGAGCCAAAAGCGGAAGAGAATCACGCCCAAAATATTGGGAGATTGGCTTAGCTCACTGGAAGTGCTTTCTAATCCCTTCATCTGTTTTCTTTTCCGCGTCCACGCATGCGATCTCTCGCGATAGCACTTTAATATAATATCTCGCATTTACTTCATTTCCACAAGTTCTGCGACATTTCTCTCTTTTTGGTCGGATTTCCAGAGCTATGAATTGATTGCACCATGCCCAGCTTTAGAACGCGACCGCCTTTCTTCTCGGTCAGGTCACGCTTGTGCCTATGCGCGTGGTTGGCACACTGTGGCGTTCCCTTTTTTGCCTGCCTGAAATGCCGCCCCACTCTCCATGCTCATATCAGCGCTTTCTACGACCTATGATGAAACAAAAGTGCAGTTCTCAAATCTGAATCTTCTGTCAGAGGAATTTTTCTCCGAATAGATGCTCTCCTATACTATCGCTACGGTTATTCTGGAGTATTCTATTCTGATTTTCAGGCAAGCAGGAGCCATGAATTTCACTGAAAGGTTTACCCACCTTCGTTAGGCTATGGGCATAGGCGACAACAACAATGGATAACAGAAAACTGCATGGCCACCAATGAGTTCAGTCATGGTTATTGGCAGGGTTTTCGCTACCACTGGTTGAACCGGATCTCATGAAGGGTAACCTGGAGCAATCCGCATAGAACGATTGCTTCGAGATTTGCAGTGGAGATTTTTGACATATTATGTGCAATGCAGAAGGCTTTTTTTTTTTAACACAGTCTTTAGATGTTACCTTTTCAGGTGTCGCTGAAAAATCGGAACTCTTCTTGCTTGTTACTTACCAAGCCTTTTGCGAACGCACGCTATGTTCCGAAATATAATCGTTGCACAACGCTCACGAAGAAATGTCAGGACGGACGGTGTGAGAGTACGAAGTTCAGGTATGAAGCTTCCCTCTGCATTGTTGAATCCGCGATATATCCTTGAAACTACGGGCCCCTATGTTTGTAAGCACACCCTTCTGCTTACTGGTTGTGCGATGCCCTCGTGAAATTACTAGAGCCTTGCTTTCGGTAGGAAGGAAGAACTTCGCCTCGCGCATCGGTAGGAAGGAAGAACTTCGCCTCGCGCAAAGGATCGAGAAAATTGGACTAGTTAGTTGTTGCTGCTGTTCCATTATCCGAAGTCCAGTTGAATCGCACTTTTGTTCTCGTAGTATTCACGGCCCAACTCGTTCTAAATAAACCCTTAATGTGGCTGCATGTCTACACAGCTCGTCAGCACAAAAGCTGAATTCCACCAGGTTGCGATATCAGCGTGGGAACTTGAAGGTCGTAAACTACGTACCAGAGTTGGATTCTCCTACTTCTCATTGTGTCGGGATCCGTCGGCTACCCACGTCGACACCAGCTGTTACCTCTACCTGCCTTTCCGTTTATGGGGAGCGCATTTCCTCCTCGACACGCTGGGACGCACTCAGCCGGTTTTGTGCCAGTGTCAGAGCTTTTGACCTATAGGCTGACGCGTGTGTAGAAAGGCGGAATCGATATCGATTATTCCTCTGTATCCCCTCTAATTCCTAGCGTGTTCTTGAGGCGCCCTCATGTACTCGTTTCTTGATGTTTTAGCACGGCTAATCCGTGATGTTCACTCTCTCCTTGAGAATTTGCAGTGGAGCTTTCAAGCGAAGCGCGCATCAAATGCTCACTTTATGAGGAGCGCCTCGTTACGTTCGTCGTCTAGGCTCCGGCCTCATATCCGGTGTTCTTATAAGTGTCCTTGAGTTCCAGTATCTTCTTTCTAATTAACTACATTGGTGTTGCATTGTGTGGTAGTAATTCTTTTCGCACAGTGGGCGTTCTATAGCCGGCAAGTCAGGCGACGCCGCACACGCCGCGCCGCGTCGCTGCATGGCACGCCGCGACGCGGCAATCCCGAATTTGCATTACCGTACTCCGGAAGTTGTCATTTGGAGGCAGAAGATTAGGCCTTCAATTTGTTCAAAGGGAAGATTGTCGACCCTTCTAACAATTTGAACGCCACGCAACAAAACTCGTACGCGGCGGCCGCCACGCCGCCTCGCTCCGCCCACCCGCGACGACCCGACGATAGAATCACCACACACCCGGTTCCCCTCTATCTGTATCGATGGCGTCCACCTAGTAGAGCGACGAAAATCGAAATCCCCAGATGGCTCGAAAGCAGATATTGCCCGTCATATAAATCTCTTTTGTAGAGTAGTGACAGTCCTATTCGCTGCGGATGACGGGGCGTGTTAGAGAGGCAGAGTTTGGCGCGCTGCCAGCCCCTTCTCCAGTTATTGAAGCGAGTAAGCGATAGTAGCGGGTGGAAAACGGCTGATACGAACACTATCGTACAGGTTTGTCGTCTGCTGAAATGAAAAAAAACTGGCTAGCGCCGCGCTGAATTCATCCCACTTGACACGCCCCATCATCCAACAAGGCTGCAATTTTGTGTCTTCCAATAATTCCATGGCCGCTTCTATCTTCAAACTGCTCGAAATATGTTTGAGCGTGGACATGTATACCTCATGTAAGCTTTTTAGACAGGATTCGGCTGGACAAATGGCGTGATTCTGGACTTGCTCGACAAATACGGTGACAAAATGAAGAGCGCGCCATGCATAGCTCACCTAGTCACATTATGTGTATTAGTTGTAGTATTTAATTTTGAGTAGCTTCTTAGTTGGCAGGCCTCGTTTGTGTGCCTATAATTGTGATAGCGAATTTCACGGGCTTATTCTCCTCATTTTACTAGGTAAAATTTGCTTGCTAAATCGTGAGCTTACTAGGAAATATTTTCAGTGACATTTTTTCAAGGAAATTTTCGAACATTTTTCTGATTTTCCAAGTTAATCCCGCAATCATTGTGGCGCACTAGTGAAGGTTTTATTCCAATGGGACGCATTCCTTAGCTGCAAGTGTCATTTCGCGCGTTGATTCATCCCTGTGTGGTTGAGGGCGACAGCAGCGAACGGAAAAACTGCTATTCTTGTTTTCAATTGTGACATACTTCAACGCAACTGAGCGATATGTTTTGACAGGCCGTCTGTATTTTTTCCGGTAAAAGCTGCTTTTCGCTATTACCAGAATGACGAGCTGGCACGCTAGTTAGAGTTTACTCTCTTTTCCCCCCTCCCTGAAAGTCATTACCCGGTCGAGTTATTGAACGCCGGCAAGGATCCTGGAGGGGTTTTTCGTAAAGCCTAATAAACATTTCAGCGCAGTTCGGCTTGGGTGGAGGTGCATTTTGTACCCTCTTTAGTTTTTTTACTAGTTCCTGTTAAATTACAGTTTCAACTTGGTGAGACCTGTAGTAGACTGTTGTTGTAGTTGAGGCTCATGTTGCTGCATAGCTTTACAGGTTCTCACAGAGGGCAGCAGTAGTGATCAATAGGAACCAGCAATATGCCCCCCCCCCAAGCCAAACGGCTTCAAAGTTTCTGTCTTTTTTTGTTATAGTTAGACAGTGGCAGCGGCAGTTTTGCTCTGGTAACCCCTCCAGTGTAGACAGGATTCCTGTTGCTTTTCACCCTTGGCGTCCAGTATTTTTTAGATTCTGTCCAGGTTTTTCCAAAAAAGTTACCCTCTCCCTCCTTCCTCCATGGGTGGAAGTGGCTAAGATTTCGTTCATGGAGATAATTTGACTGCCTGAATGCGAATATCAGAACCACATTGCGCGAGATCTCGTGGTGCCTCTTCCAGTTGCGATAGTCATTCCTAGGGGTGGGAGGGCCACACTCGTTACGAATTTTTACTCGCGATCAAAATCCTAGACTAAAGTCTAAACTTTGAAAATTGGGACATCACTGGGTAAACAATGGCAGAGTTTTCTGTTTTGTTTTTAGCGCCTCCAAGTTGAATTTCCCTTGTTGTCACAACTCGTAGTAAAGTTGGGGATTTCGTGACATCATCGGCCTCAATGTCTCAGAAGATGGAGTGAAGTAACTGCATTTTGGCCGTAATTGTGTTTACTAGTCGGTCGGTCGTTGTAGTGAGCCTTCACTATTTGCCAAGCCACACCCCTTCGTCTCATAGTCAGTATTTATAGCCTAGTACAACAATAGCCAGTTATCAAGTAACGTATTGATTCGGGTTGTAATTACCTTCTTTTTAATTGCTAAATCTCTTTGAAGAAATGGTATTTGTTTTGTACATATGCATTTCTCTTTGTGTATCAAAAGGCATTTGCTATTCATTATCGCATGGCATTTCGTTGCGTTCTTCATCGTTCATTAAAAGTGCATTTGTTTGAAGTATAGGATGTTTGTATGTAATTAAGGGACTTCTCAGCTAGTCATTAATATAAAATTGTTCTCAATTGGAATGTTTGAAACACTGAGAAGCCGACGCATCGCATCATAAACGAGATTTAGAAGAAGGTCGAATTGTTGAGATATCTTTGATAGGGTCTCGTTTGGGGCATAGTTTAGGATATTCGAGACGCGGTAAGGGCAGCCAGAGACTTGTCACGAATGGGATCACTTTAGCCAGCACTCGCGGCAGTGCTGTAGCGCATCATGTCTAATAAGGATATTCATTCATTCATTCATTTATTACATGAGCGAACTCATGTGGCTACACATCAGCCTACAAACAATGAAACAGAACATCCGAGAAAGTCCCGCACGGGGAAAAACAATAATACCACAAAAAATTTCTAAAATGTGTAAATGTTATCAAAATAAAACAGGGAAGAGCCGTTTAAAGAGAAGGTGTAAGAGAAGCCATCATCATCATTTATCCAGGTAGCAATCGATAAGCTTGCTAAAGGTGTGACTGTTGGTGGGAATAGGTATCTTTTTGCTCAGTGTTGAGTATAATACGCTTGCACGCACAGCAAAAAAGTGAACGCGAAC